GATTCCTCGAAAAGTTAAGGATTAGTATTCCGTTTAGAAGGGATTCGATTTTATCCATCCGCGAGGAAAGTAATCAACAAAGAAAGAAGATGAGTTCCTTCGTTTACTTTTATCACTTAGGAGCCGTGCGAGATGAAAGTCTCATGCACGGTTTTGAATGAGAGAAAGAAGTGAGGAATCCTCTTTTCGACTCTGACTCTCCCACTCCAGTCGTTGCTTTCTTTCTGTTTACTTCGAAAGTAGCTGCTTTAGCTTTACCCACTCGAGTTTTCGAGCATCCTTTTTATTTCTCATCAAATGAATGGCATCTTCTTCTGGAAATCCTAGCTATTCTTAGCATGATATTGGGGAATCTCATTGCTATTACTCAAACAAGCATGAAACGTATGCTTGCATAATAGTCCATAGGTCAAATCGGATATGTCATTACATTCTTATTCTTCTGGTAAGTTTTCTGGGTATTTCTCTAGCTTATTTTCACACCATACTTCTCTAGCTTCTTTTCACACCGGGGACGGTGTAAAGTAAGTCCGGGGGAGGGTCATGTCTCTTGTACTTCTTTCTTTTATCCTCACTTTTTTAACAATTTCTTTGAGTCAGTTGTTTTTACTTTCTTTGAGTCATTTTGTTTCTTTGAGTGAGTCTGTCATATGAGTTAAGTCAAAACTTGTGGGAACTAGAACCAAATCTATGATGAGTTTAGACCATTTGTGAATTTTGATCATGTTCTTTTTAGTGACCATGCTGCAGAATCAGTCTAGATCCGACTAATAGAAAATCTAAGGGCTGACCAGCGGACTAGAGGCGTCCATGTTTCTGACAAAATCCATTGACCTGAGCTAATTTCTGAGCTTTTCCTTTTACCTATTCGATATGACCAGTGTTCACTGGGCTTGACTCCTCATTCATACCTGATAAACAAGGACTTGTGTGATGAAAAAAATAAATTTGGTACTCCTCTCCCTTAACTAAAGCTGAAAAGATGAGATGATTTTTTTTTCAAAGTAAAGGGGTAAGAAAATTTCCTGTGACCTCACTATTTTACTTTAGAGAGAAATGATCACACAAAGATTGGAAGTGAGAGGTAGGAAAGTTTCTCGTGACCTCATTATTCACCTACAACTTTGATTAAAAAAAAAACGTTTGCAAATAAATAAGTTCGAGGAAGAGGAAGAGTACATTTGTGTGTTTGGTTAGTTTGTCATGGTCTAGTATGGGAATGAGTCTAGAAGGCCCTTGGCATTGGTTTCATCAGTGAGACCCAGCGATGATGGGATATGGATAATGTCGTGAAATTATGGATCTAATCTGGGAAGCTGCAATGTCTGCGGAGAAGTACATGAAGGTTCGATTTGGATTGATGTTGCAACAGGTCGTCCGCATGCTATGGTCAAATTTACGGTCTTCTGAGTTTTTGCGAGTTCCACCATTGTCTAATCAATTTTTCTGGAACTAGATTTTAGTTTGTTTGAAACAAATGTCTAAGTCCGGAGAAATTGATAAGTGGAGATTTTGACTCATTATAACCTGTGTTTACTGATATTTTTTGAGTCTTTTGAGTATTTGTCAAGTCGTTTCAGGTAACTATGAAGCTTAAGGCGATGAATTGGAGCAGCTGGAGCTTTTAATGCAAAAAGGAGCTGAAGCTGAGCAAAAGAGGCCAATTTACACAAAGTTGGATCATTCTTGGTTGGGAGCACTTGCTCCTGATTTTACCCTTTCGTGGAGCACCTGCTCTAACCGCCTAGAGAAAAATAAAAAAATCGACTTTTACCTAATTTTGGGATCAGAAAGAGAATAAAAAGTCCAGAGCCGCCTCAAAAACAGAACGACGTTTTACAGACTTTTTTTTACGTTTTCTTTTTACAATTTTGTGGACTTGAGAGTTTTTACTTGTAAGCTTTTGGGAGAAGAAATCTGCTACACTTTGAGAAGAATTCTGAACCCTATTATTACTTCTGCGATTTTATTTTCATGAATTCCTTTTCATCTGTTGCTGTGTTTCTTTTCTCCATGTCTGAGTAGATCTCTTAGCTAGATTAAGGTTTTCAAAGGATTTCATGAGTTAGCGAATTGGATGCAAATAGGGTTTAAAATCGATTGTCTTCACTTCTATTAGACTTAACGCTTAGGTTGAACTGGCCATTCAATTTACGATCTTAGGTTAATCTATTCATCAAAAGTGTAATAGGTTGCTAGAACAAACACTGGTGAGCGATTTATCCTTATCCAACGACAGTTGAAGTTAAGGCAAATCGTGAACAGATCAAACCTGCTCGTTAATGCTTGTCTGCAATTTTCTAGGTTCAAACGACAGTTTAGAATTTAGGTTGTTAGATAAAGTTATCGAGATCACGACAGTGGATCGATAAGCTTTTATATTTGAGTTCGAGACATGCATTTAAGTTGTGCCCTGAATAGTCATCTGATTCTCATCTCTGAAACTCCTGCGAATTACCTTGATCTAGTGCTTGTTTTAATTTGAATTTAAATTTTCTTTAGCTTGCTTTTACTTGTCGTTAAAGTTACAAACCACCCATCTTTTGTCTTAGCTTTAATTCAGTCCTTTTAGAGTCTTAGAGTAACATTGGTCCTCTGGATTTCGAATCTTTTATATTACAATCTCATCACTGTTCTATTGCAGTAGAAACTAGGAGATACATCCAGTTGAAATCAATTTTTGGCGCTGTTGCGACATGGACCAATTCGTAACCTCTGATTCTTGGTTTGAAATTCAGACTAAGACCTCACTAACTTTTCTCTTTTTCTCTTGTCTGCGTGTGTTTGAGGTGCATGACAAACAAGTCTACAAGGAGCAGCTGCACCGAGGATCTTGTTTCTTTGTCAAACGCCGAGCTAGCAAGAGTCGAGCGAGAAAACAGACGTCAAAGGCCTATTTTTGCCAACATGGGCGATCAGGGCAACAACAACGTGTTAGCTGAGATGCAGCAGCTTCGGCAACAATTGGACCAGTTGCAAAAAGCTCAGCAAGACAGACAACAGCTACAACCTGCGATCGGAGACAAGAACAATCCACATGCTTTCTACCAAAACAGAGCTGCGATTGATCCTCCAACGATTAACAGGCAAGACTTTGAGATCAAACCTCAGTTGATCTCATTGGTGAAGCAGCATCTATTCCATGGGCTTCCTGCTGAAATTCCTGCTGAGAATGTTGAGGAGATTTTCAGTACGATTGGATCAAATGGGATACCAAGCGATTTTCTGAAGTGCAAGCTTTTTCCATTCTCACTTGCGGATAAAGCTTCGCGCTGGTTGAAGTCATTGCCAGCTGGGTCATTGACTACTTGGACAGAGTGCAGATCAGCGTTTTTGGACCACTTCTACACTAAGTCCAAAACTGCAGCTCTGAGGAATAAGATCTCTTCGTTCAGACAACAACCTAGTGAAGCTTTCTGCGAAGCTTGGAAAAGGTACAAGGAGTACCGAGGAGAGTGCCCTCACCATGGGTTCTCTGATGAGCAGATTCTTTCAACCTTTTATGATGGTGTCAACTGGGATTACATGAATGCTTTGAATGCAGCTAGCAATGGCGATTTCATGACTAAGTCCAAATCAGGTGCTTATGAGTTGATTGAGAACTTAGCTGCAAGTTCCAGCAATAAATCCCAAGAGTATGACAGGTCTAGCAAAGCAGTTCATAGTGTGGAGTTGAGCAAGATCGATGAGCTTACAGCAAAGGTGAATCTGCTGTTGAAAGAGAACCAGAAATCTGTACATTTTGCTGATGAGATCGGTGATACAAATCTTGCTGAAGAGTTTGTAGAAGCAGAGGATCATGATCAGATGGAGGTGAACTTTGTGAATGGATAAGGGTATGTGAAGAATCGCAGCTTCAACAACTTCAGAAACCACCCGAATTTGTCCTACAGAAGCAACAATGTTGAAAACCCTCATGATCAGGTCTATCCACAGCAAGGAGTGTAGAATCAGTCAGGATTTCAGAAGAAATTCTCCAGCAACTTCCAAGGAAAGCAGTTCATCACCAATCAGAATCGGTTTCAAGGTGGAAATCAGCAGAAGTTGCCTTTCACAAGTCTGCAGACTTCTTCGAGTTTCCCAAATAACTCGCATGATGAGCTGAAAAACTTGATGCAACAACTGCTGGTTAATCAGCAAAAGTCTTCCATGGAGATTAATGCCAAAATGGACACCATGTACAATGATTTGAATGGCAAGTATGAGACAATGTGGACTCATGTGAAGAAGCTGGATGTTCAGGTAGTCCAGACTGCATAAGCTGTGAAGAGATCACCCGGAACTCTCCCTGGAAAAGGTGAAAACCCCAGGAATGAGTTTGTGAATGCTATTGAGCTGAGAAGTGAGAAGACTCTGCATGCTGCACCAACAAGCGCTGTCTCAGAAAAGAGGAAGGAAAAAGACGTAGAGCACCTGCTCCAAGAAGGGGCACCAACTCATGGCGTAAAAACGACGAAAGAGCATACTTTCTCGACTGGAGCACCTGCTCCGAATTCTTGAGCACCTGCTCCAGACGTAGAAGAGACGATTGAGCACCCTGAGCCGACGATAAAGCACCTGCTCCAGCCATCTGCTCCAGTAAAATTTCCTGTCCCATCACGATCCCATCTCTCACCATGAAATGGCATTTCTCCCAGTTGAGCACCAGATGCTTCTCCTCACACCGCTGCAAGACCCTGCACAAATTAGACAAACAAAAAGAAAATGAGCTTTCAAAGACAGAAAAATCGTCCATGAAAACTTACCATTATGTCCTCAATCAGATCGGTAAAAATCGACATCATACAGCGTTGGAAAGTCGCCGGGGCATTGCACAAGCCAAATGGCATCCTGCGGTATGCAAAAATGCAATAAGGACATGTGAATGTCGTCTTCTCCTGATCGTCTGGATGGATTGGAATCTGAAAGAAACCTGAATAACCATCTAAAAACCAATAATAAGGATGGTTAGCAAATCTTTCAAGCATCTGATCAATAAATGGCAAAAGGAAGTGATATTTGCGAGTTGCAGCATTCAATTTTCTGTAATCTATGCACATTCGATGCCCAATAACTGTTCTAGTTGGTATCAGTTCATTCCTATCATTTTTGATCACAGTGATGTCACTTTTCTTAGGAACTACATGAACCGGACTAACCCAATTACTGTCTGAAATCGCATAAATCACACCAGCTTCTAGAAGTTTCATTATCTCTTTCTTAACAACATCTTGTAGATTCGGGTTTAACCTCCTCTGATGTTCTACAGAAGTCATCGATTCATCTTCTAGATGTATTTTATGCATGAAAATATCTGGAGAAATCCCTAGAATGTCATCTAGTGAATATCTTAGAGCTTTCATATACTTTCTAAGTTCACAAAGAATCAAGGCAATCTCTACATTGTTCAATTCAGAGTTCACTATCACAGGGTATGTCGAATTGGGTCCTAGAAACGCGTACCTGAGCCCCACAGGAAGGGGTTTGAGCTCAAGCTTCAGAGCTCTCAATTCGCTCCAAGGTCCATCAATCAAGCCATCGAGAGCAGGTGCTCCAGGATTCGGAGCAGGTACTCCATCGACTTTTTCTGCAGTTGACCTCTCCTTGCCTTCCAAGCTCATTTATGCCACCAGCCTTTGCATCCTCGTGCTTGCATCCAGCATCCTTGCATCCAGCATCCTTGCAAACCCATCAGCTTCCTCACTCAAATACCCATGCTCTCCTTCGGCTTTTGTGAGTGCAACTTCCAAAGGATCAATGGCCAAAACCTCTTCAGCAATGTCTGAACCATCATCTATGACAATTTCTATCCGTCTAGCATTGGCTTCTTGAGGAGTTTATTCATTTCAAATCGCACCACCATATCTCCCAGCTGGAGATCTATGACACCTCTTTTCACATCTATGATTGCACCAGCTGTGCATAAGAAGGATCGACCCAATATCAAAGGATCCTTGGGTTCTTCATCAAGTTCCAGCACCACAAAATCTACTGGAATGAGTGTATCGCCTATCTGAACATGCAGATCCTCAAGTATACCAACAGGAAATTTGGTTGATCTATCAGCGAACACCAGCAAGATTTTTGTCGGCTTGAATCTAGTGTACCCCAATCGCTTGGCTACAGAATAAGGCATCAGAATCACACTTGAACCCATATCGCAGAGGGACCTTGCAAACAGCACATTACCAATCCTGACTGAGAGAACAAATCTTCCTGGATCACTTCTCTTCTTCAGCACCTTGTTCTGCAACACAGCACTGCACTCCTTCGAGACCATCATGACACTCTCTTCCTCACCAGCTTTCTCAGAAACTAATCTCTTCATGTATCGCTTAAGGGCTGGTATCATCTGGACAGCATCAGCTAGAGGGAGTTTCACAGTTAAATCCTTCAGCATCTCCCTGCATTATGTCTCCTCTACGTCCTTGCAGGACTTCTTTGGTGGAACTGGGTAAGGTACCTTAGACGTACAAACTCTTACAAAATCTCAGAGAAAGGGATCGAAGTGGACAGGGCAAAGATCGAGGTGATGATGAGTCTGCAACCACCAACATCAGTCAAAGGGGTTCGCAGTTTTCTGGGTCATGCTGGTTTTTACAAACGCTTCATCAAAGACTTCTCAAAGATTGCTAGACCTCTGACGCAGCTGCTGTGCAAGGATGTGAAATTCGAGTTCGATGATGCATGTTTGGAGGCATTTCACACGATAAAAGGAGTTTTGGTCAGCGCTCCTATTGTCCAGCCACCAGATTGGGAACTACCTTTTGAGGTCATGACCGATGCTAGTGATTATGCAGTGGGAGCAGTGCTGGGACAGAGGAAAGAAAAGAGGCTCCATGTCATCTATTATGCCAGCCAAACACTCGACGAAGCTCAGTGCAGATATGCCACAATTGAAAAAGGAGCTTCTTGCAGTGGTCTATGCCTTTGAGAATTTCAGGTCTTACCTTGTTGGGTCGAAGGTTGTTGTTCACACAGACCATGCAGTGCTAAAATACCTGTTGACAAAGAAGGATGTCAAGCCAAGGCTCCTTAGATGGATCCTTTTGCTGCAGGAGTTTGATTTGGAGATCAAAGACAAAAAGAGGATTGATAATGGTGTTGCAGACCACTTGTCGAGGCTGAAGATTGATGAAGACATTCCACTAGATGACAGCCTCCCTGATGAACAGGTTTACGCCATTGATATTTCTGGGTTCGACGAGCACCTCCTCCAGCTTAGAGCACCTGCTCTGACGAGTTTTTGCAACTCAGTTGACGTAGATCGACATCCCAATTTTCCTTGGTTTGGAGAGATTGCAAATTACCTTGCTGCAGATTAGGAACCTGCAGATTTCGTGGGAAATAAGACGAAGAAGTTTCTGAAGGACGTGAGGCACTACTTTTGGGATGAGTCTTACTTATACAGGCATTGATCTGATGGGATTTCAGGAGATGTGTAGCTGATGAGGAGATACCTGGGGTCTTGTTTCATTGCCATGGTTCACCTTATGCTGGTCACTTTGCCACTTTTAAAACAGTGTCAAAGATTCTTCAGGCTGGGTATTGGTGTCCTACTATATTCCGAGATGCACAGAGTTTTAAATCTAGGTGTAACACATGCCAGAGGCAAGGGAACAATATCAGGAGAAATGAGATGCCTTAGAACTTCATCCTGGGGTATCGAGTTCATGGGGCCATTTCTATCATCTTATGGCACTGAGTATATTTTGGTGGCAGTTGACTATGTGTCAAAGTGGGTCGAAGCTCTGGCTAGCCCTACAAATGACGCAAATGTGGTTCTGAAGATGTTCAAATCTGTCATATTCCCAAGGTTTGGTGTGCCATGTGTTGTGATCAGTGATGGAGGTTCTCACTTCATCAACAAATTTTTTGAGAACTTGTTGAAGAAGAATGGTGTTAATTAAGTACAAGGTGGCGACCCCATACCATCCTCAGACAAGTGGGCAGGTCGAGATTATTAACAGGGAGATCAAAAACATTTTGCAGAAAACTGTAAGCACCACAAAAAAGAATTGGTCAGTGAAACTTGATGATGCTCTTCGGACGTATAGGACAGCTTACAAGACACCATTGGGGACTACACCATTTCACTTGGTGTATAGAAAAACTTGTCATCTCCCAATGAAACTCGAGTATAAAGCTGCTTGGGCGATGAAGTTGCTGAATTTCGATGCTAGAAGTGCTCATGAGAGGAGAGTGATGCAGCTCCACGAGCTGGAGGAAATTAGGCATCTGGCCTATGGGAATTCGAAAATCTAAAAGGAGAAAACCAAAGCTTTCCATGACAAGAGGATCCTCAATAGGACTTTTGCACCAAACGATCAGGTGCTGCTGTTTAATTCTTGATTAAAGCTTTTTCCTGGAAAGCTGAGATCAAGGTGGTCTGGACCTTTCATCATCAAAGAGGTTCGACCATATGGTGTTGTAGTGTTGTTGGACACTAAAGGAGGCGAGTTCGTTGTCAATGGACAGAGGTTGAAGCCATATCTTGCTGGTCCAAATGTCGCAGAAGGTGAATTACTCACCTTAAGCGATCCTCCTCAAGCTTAAATGGCTTTCCAAGTCAAGCTAGTGACTTAAAAGAAGCGCTTGGTGGGTGGCAACCCACCGGTAAGAGTCTCTAACTTTGTGTCTTTCAATTTTTAGCTACTAACTTTGCTTTTAGGTTCTTTGTTTTCATCAAAAAAAAAACAGGTAGAAGGTTTCAGCGTGAGAAAGGATGTGAGGAAGAAGAAGAAGAGGCAACCCGCTCCATCTGCTGGGTTGGATGCTCGCAGCGTAAAAAAATGACGAAGGAGCACCCACACCTCTGTCGGAGCACCTGCTCCACGGGGTGCTCCAGACGAAACATTGACAAGGGAGCAACCCAAGGGAAACCAGAGCACCTGCTCTGGCACCTGCTCCAGACAAACAATTGACGAGGGAGCACCCAGCTCTGTTCCGGAGCACCTGCTCCGCCAGGGTGCTCTACATGTGCGAACAAGGTAAGTTTTCTAGGTACTTCTCTAGCTTATTTTCACACCAGGGACGGTGTGAAGTAAGTCCGGGGGAGGGTCGTGCCTCTTGTACTTATTTATTTTATCCTCACTCTTTTAGCACTTTCTTTGAGTCAGTTGTTTTTACTTTCTTTGAGTCATTTTGTTTTTTTGAGTGAGTCTGTCATATGAGTTAAGTCAAAACTTGTGAGAACTAGGACCAAATCTATGATGAGTTTAGACAATTTGTGAATTTTGACTATGTTCTTTTTAGTGACCATGCTGCAAAATCAGTCTAGATCCGACTAAAGGAAAATCTAAGGGCTGACCAGCGGACTAGAGGCGTACATGTTTCTGACATAATCCATTGACCTGACCTAATTTCTGAGTTCTTCCTTTTACCTCATCGATGTGATCAGTGTTCACAGGACTTGACTCCTCATTCATACCTGACAAACAAGGACCTGTGTGATGAAAAAAAAAAAATTTGGTACTCCTCTCCCTTAACTAAAGCTGAAAAGATGAGATGATTTTTTTTTCAAAGTAAAGGAGTAAGAAAATTTCCTGTGACCTCACTATTTTACTTTAGAGAGAAATGATCACACAAGGATTGGAAGTGAAAGGTAGGAAAGTTTCCTGTGACCTCATTATTCACCTACAACTTTTATTTAAAATAAAAAAATAAAAACGGCTGCAAATGAATAAGTTCGAGGGAGAGGAAGAGTACCTTTGTGTGTTTGGTCAGTTTGTCATGGTATAGTATGGGAATGAGTCTAGAAGGCTATTGGAATTGGTTTCATCAGTGAGACCCAGCGATGATGGAATATGGATAATGTCGTGAAATTATGGATCTAATCTGGGAAGCTGCAATGTCTGCGGAGAAGTACATGAAGGTTCGATTTGGATTAATGTTGCAACAGGTCGTTCGCATGCTATGGTCAAATTTACGGTCTTATGAGTTTTTGCGAGTTCCCACCATTGTCTAATCAATTTTTCTGGAACTAGATTTTAGTTTGTCTGAGGACAAACAAAGGTCTAAGTCTGGGGAAATTGATAAGTGGAAATTTTGACTCATTATAACCTGTGTTTACTGATATTTTTTGAGTCTTTTGAGTCTTTGTCAAGTCGTTTCAGGTAACTAGGAGAGTTAAGGCGATGGATTGGAGCAGCTAGAGCTTTTGATGTAAAAAGGAGCTGAAGCTGAGCAAAAGAGTCCAATTTACACGAAGTTAGATCATTCTTGGTCGGGAGCACCTGCTCCCGATTTCACCCTTTCGTGGAGCACCTGCTCCAACCGCCTGGAGAAAAATAAGGAAATCGACTTTTACCTAATTTTGGGATCAGAAAGAGAATAAAAAGTCCAGAGCCGCCTCAAAAACAGAACGAAGTTTTACAGACTTTCTTTTATGTATTCTTTTTACAGTTTTCTGGACTTGAGAGTTTTTACTTATAAGCTTTTGGGAGAAGAAATCTGCTACACTTTGAGAAGAATTCTGAACCGTATTATTACTTCTGCGATTTTATTTTCATGAATTCCTTTTCGCCATGTCTGAGTAGATCTCTTAGCTAGATTAAGGTTTTCAAAGGATTTCATTAGTTAGAGAATTGGATGCAAATAGGGTTTAAAATCGATTGTCTTCACCTCTGTTAGACTTAACGCTTAGGTTGAACTGGCCAATCAATTTACGATCTTAGGTTAATCTATTCATCAAAAGTGTAATAGGTTGCTAGAACAAACACTGGTGAGCGATTTGTCCTTAGCCAACGACAGTTGAAGTTAAGGCAAATCGTGAACAGATTAAACCTGCTCGTTAATGCTTGTCAGCAATTTTCTAGGTTCAAACGACAGTTTAGAATTTAGGTTGTTAGATAAAGTTATCGAGATCACGACAGTGGATCGATAAGCTTTTATGTTTGAGTTCAAGACCTGCATTTAAGTTGTGCCCTGAATAGTCATCTGATTCTCATCTCTGAAACTCCTGCAAATTACCTTGATCTAGTGCTTGTTTTAATTTGAATTTAAATTGTCTTTAGCTTGCTTTTACTTGTCGTTAAAGTTATAAAGCAACCATCTTTAGTCTTAGCTTTAGTTCAGTCCTTTTAGAGTCTTAGAGTACCACTGGACCTCTGGATTCCAAATCTTTTATATTAGAATCTCATCACTATTAGAATCTCATCACTATTAGAATCTCATCACTGTTCTACTGCAGTAGAAACTAGGAGATACATCCAGTTGGAATCATTTTTACTCTAAAGTATCAACAGCACATGCATATACCGAAATCAACACTTAGACACCATAAAACTCCCTTTCAAATTTTTTTGCCGAATTTCAAAGAGGGGAATTGCGAATTATACCTGTGCTGGGTGTCAAAATTGATTGCAGAAACAGATAGAGGGCAGAAAACCGATCGATTTAGACCCAAAAAACGTTGAAAACGGAGGAGAATTGGAAAAGTTGGGTTTTGGAGCTTTAAGGGTCGATAATGGCAAAGAAATAGAGAGGAAAGAGAAAGAGTTTGGGGTCGGGGTCTTAAAGGGAAAAGTCGGGTAGGATAAAAGATTTATGGGAAAAATCTTTTTTTTTTAAAAAAAATTGCACATTGGTCCCCGATTTCCGTTTAAAATTCCCAATTTTCTTGAAAACTTACCTGGCAGCGCAGAGCACCCTGGCGGAGCAGGTGCTCTGGACCAGAGCAGGGTGCTCCCTCGTCTTTTCTTCGTCTGGAGCACCAAGCGGAGCAGGTGCTCCCGTCTCCCTCTGGTTGCTCCTTCGTGACATTGTCCGTGGTGAGCACCCCGTGGAGCAGGTGCTCCGACAGGGGGGGGGGGAGTGCTCCTTCATCAGATTTTACGTGGTGAGCAACCAACCCAGCAGGCGGAGCATGTGCTCTGGTTGATTGATTTTCTCTTCTTCTTCTTTTCACCTCCATTGCTGAAAATCTATCTACCTCTTTTTTTTTTTTCTTTTTTCTTTTTTTTCTTTTTATGTTTGAAAACAAAGAACCTTAAACAAAGTTAGTAGCAAAAGAAATTGAAAGACACAAAGTTAGAGACTCTTACCGGTGGGTTGCCTCCCACCAAGCGCTCGTTTTAAGTCACTAGCTTGACTTTGAGGGCCATTCAGGCTTGAGGAGTGTCGCTTAAGGTGAGTGATTCACCTTCCGTGACATGTGGACCAGTGAGGTATGGCTTCAACCTCTGCCCATTGACGACGAACTCTCCTCTTTTAGTGTCCAGTAACACTACAGCTCCATATGGTCAAACTTCTTTGATGATGAAGGGTCCAGACCACCTTGATCTCAGCTTTCTAGGAAAAAACTTCAATCGAGAATTAAACAGCAGCACTTGATCGTTTGGTGCAAAACTCCTGCTGAGGATCCTCTTGTCATGGAAAGCTTTGGTTCTCTCCTTGTAAATTTTCGAGTTTTCATAGGCCAGGTGCCTAATCTCCTCCAACTCGTGCAGCTGCATTACTCTCCTCTCATGAGCACTTCTAGCATCAAAATTCAGAAACTTTACTGTCCAAGCAGCTTTGTACTCGAGTTCCACTGGGAGATGACAAGCTTTTCCATACACCAAGTGAAATGGTGTAGTCCCCAAAGGTGTCTTGTAAGCCGTCCTATACGTCCAAAGAGCTTCATGAAGCTTCACCGACCAATCTTTCCTTGTGGTGCTTACAGTTTTCTGCATAATGTTTTTGATCTCACTGTTGGAAATCTCAACCTGCCCAATCGTCTGAGGATGGTATGGAGTCGCCCCCTTGTGTGTTACACCATTCTTCTTCAACAAGTTCTCAAAAAATTTGTTGATGAAGTGAGAACCTTAATCGCTGATCACAACTCGAGGCACACCAATCCTTGGGAATATGACAGATTTGAACATCTTCAAAACTACTTTAGCGTCATTTGTAGGGCTAGCCAGAGCTTCGACCTACTTTGACACATAGTCAACTGCCACCAGAATATACTCATTGCCATAAGATGATGAAAATGGCCCCATGAATTCGATAACCCAGACATCAAAAATCTCCACTTTCCAAAATGAAGTTCTGCGGGATCTCATTTCTCCTGCTTATGTTGCCTTGCCTCCGGCATGTGTCACACCTGGATATGAATCTCTGCGCATCTCGGAACATAGTAGGCCACCAATACCTAGCCAGGAGAATCTTTGACACTGTTTTAAAAGTGGCAAAGTGACCAGCATAAGGTGAACCATGGAAATGAAACAAGACCCCAGGTACCTCCTCATTAGCTACACATCTCCTGAAAATCCCATCAGAGAAATGTCTATATAAGTTAGGCTCATCCCAAAAGTAATGTCTCACATCCTTCAAGAATTTTTTCTTCTTATTCCCACGAAATCCACAGGTTCCTTTTATGCAGCAAGGTAGTTTGCAATCTCTCCAAAACAAGGGAAACCAGAATGCCAAGTTACTTCAACTGAGCTGCAAAAATTTGTCAGAGCAGGTGCTCTAGGCTGGAGCAGGTGCTCGTCGAACCCAGAAACATCAATGGCGTATACTTGTTCATCAGGGAGGTTGTCATCTAGTGGAATGTCATCATCAATCATCTTCAGCCTTGAAAGGTGATCTGCAACAACATTCTCGATCCCCTTTTTGTCTTTGATCTCCAAATCAAATTCCTGCAGCAAAAGGATCCATATAAGGAGCCTTGGCTTGGCATCCTTCTTCGTCAAGAGATAATTCAGCGCAGCATGATCAGTGTGGACAACAACCTTCGATCCAACAAGGTAAGACCTGAAATTCTCAAAGGCATAAACCACTGCTAAAAGCTATTTTTCGGTTGTGGCATATCTGCACTGAGCTTCGTCGAGTGTTCGGCTGGCATAATAAATGACATGGAGCCTCTTTTCTTTCCTCTAACCAGCATTGCTCCTACTGCATAGTCACTAGCATCGGTCATGACCTCAAAAGGCAGTTCCCAATCTGGTGGTTGGACAATAAGAGCGCTAACCAAAGCTCCTTTGATCGTATGAAATGCCTCCTAAATGCATCATCGAACTCGAATTTCACATCCTTGCACAGCAACTGCATCAGAGGGCTAGCAATCTTTGAGAAGTCTTTGATGAAGCGTCTGTAAAACCCAGCATTACCCAGAAAACTGCAGACCTCTTTGACTGATGTTGGTGGCTGCAGACTCATCATCACCTCGATCTTTGCCCTGTCTACTTTGATCCCTTTCTCTGAGATTTTGTGTCCCAGCATGATCCCATCTCTCACCATGAAATGGCATTTCTCCTAGTTGAGCACCAGATACTTCTCCTCACACCGCTGCAAGATCCTGCACAAACTAGACAAACAGACAGAAAATGAGCTTTCATATACAGAAAAATCGTCCATGAAAACTTCCATTATGTCTTCAATCAGATCAGTAAAAACCGACATCATGCAGCGTTGGAAAATCGCCGGGGCATTGCACAGGTCAAATGGCATTCTGCAGTATGCAAAAGTGCCATAAGGACATGTGAATGTCGTCTTCTCCTGGTCGTCTGGGTGGATTGGGATCTGAAAGAAACCTGAATAACCATCTAAAAAACAGTAGTAAGGATGGTTAGCCAATATCTCAAGCATCTGATCAATAAATGGCAAAGGGAAATGATCTTTGCGAGTTGCAGCATTCAATTTCCTGTAATCTATGCACATTTGATGCCCAGTAACAGTTCTAGTTGGTATCAATTCATTCCTATTATCTTTGATCACAGTGATGCCACCTTTCTTAAGAACTACATGAACGAAAACAGCATCATTATGGGAATGTACATGCGGATATGCCTATATTGCATTTGCGGGTAAAAGAGTAATTGAACAAACATTACCGGACTAACCCAATTACTGTCTGAAATTGAATAAATCACACCAGCTTCTAGAAGCTTCATTATCTCCTTCTTAACAACATCTTGTAGATTCGGGTTTAACCTCCTCCTCGGCAATGGCGCCAAAAATTGATTCTAACAGGATGTATCTCCTAGTTTCTACTGCAATAGAACATCTTTGAGATTTTAATATAAATGATTTGAAATCCTGAGGACCAGTGTTACTCTATGACTCTACGAGGACTGAAACAAAGCTAAGACGAAAGATAACTTGATTTTAACTTTAACGACAAGTAAAAGCAAACTAAAGACGATTGAAATTCGAATTAAAACAAGCACTAGACCAAGGAAATTGGCAGGAGTTTCAGAGAAGAGAATCAAATGACTATTCAGGAAACAATTTAAATGCAGGTCTCGAACTCAAACATAAACGCATATCAACCCACTGTCGTGGCACCGATAACTTTGTCTAGCAACCTAATTCTAAACTGTCGTTTGAACCTAGAAAATTGCAGACAAGCATTAACAAACAGGTTTGATCTGTCCACGATTTGTCTTAACTTCAACTGTCGTTGGCTAAGGACAAAACCTATTACACTTTTGATGAATAGATTAACCTATGATCGTAAATTGAGTGATAAGTTTAACTTAAGCATTAAGTTTAACAATGGTGAAGACAATCGATATCAAGCCCTATTTGTATCCAATTCTCTAACTCATTAAATCCTTTGAAAACCTTAATCTAGCTAAGAGATCTACTCAGACATGAAGAAAAGAAACACAACAACAAATGAAAAGGAATTCATGAAATAAATCTAAGAAACGATAAGGGGATTCAGAATTCTTCTCAAAGTGTAGCAGGAATTCCTCTCCCAAAAGCTTACAAGCAAAAACTCTCTAGTCTAGAAATTGTAAAAGAAAGCGTAGAAAAACAGAATAGGCGGCTCTGGTATTCTTATTCCCTTTCACGCAACTTGGAGCTAGGTAAAATTATTTCCTTATTTTTCTCCAGAGGTTGGAGCAGGTGCTCCACGGAAGGTCGAAATCGGGAGCAGGTGCTCCGCAGAAAACTTCTCCAACTGCGTATGAAAATCTGCTCCTTTTTGCTCACTTTCATCTCTTTTTGCTCCAATGCCTTCCAGACACTCACATCCTCTGCTAAAGCCACTTATCAGTTAGACCGGTGTATTTTCCGGATTAGCGACTGCCTGAGAAGATTGTGAACTTTTCTGGAATGTGGGAGCTGGGAGCTTTTCACAAGTCTTCGAAGCTTCAACAAGTTTTTCTGATTAACCTCAAGGGATAAAGAATGACGACACTGGAATATCAACAATTGGAACTGAGGATTCTGCCGGATTTGAGACACAAGTCACAGAAAGAGATGCATCAGGATTGGATGCAATCTGCAAAGTCTCTTTTACTAAGGGCAGCGAGGATTGAGTGGAATGAGCCGACTACCGATTCAGAATAGGCCACCGAGGATCTGGAGAAGAGGAGTTAACGGCGACAATGTCGGAAGTCTCCGAAATGTTGCGCTTTAGAGAGTTTTTGTTGGTAGAAGGGACTGTTTTCGTCACCAGAGAGCTTCCAGAAGCAAGTTTTGCCGCTGGGTGAATTAGTTCCAGTGTAATCGAGTTCATTATCCTCTCCAACGACGGTATCATTGAATCGTAATCAGTCACTGAAATTTCTCCTGTAACCATGGTGAAAATAAAGATCTAACGGGAGAATGAAAGAGATGACTGGACCACCAATGTCTGAGGTTAGTGATCCTTTGTAGAAGAGCTTCGGGAAGCAGCCGGCAATGAAACCGCAACGGCGGAGTCGGAAAGAAAATGATTTAGGTTTTTTTTTTCCTATTATAGAGAGAATTTGGGGGCGCGTGATAATACGTGCGAATATAGTTAAAAAACAAAACTATAGATGATAAAGAAAGCATCAGAAGGCTCTAAGACCACCTCCAACAGAGATTCAAGAGGGGTTCTTGACCAAAAACATCAGAAGACTCTAAGACCACCTTCAACAGGGGTTAAAGCTCTAAAACCACCTCCAAAAGGCAAACTGGTATTAAAAAATACAAAGGAAAAGGCCCAGTTTGCTAAGAACCGGTTCTTAGGTGTTTTAGAGACTGTCTCTTAGAGACATGTATCTTCTTGTTATTGGCTTTTTTTTCTGTGAATTTCCAATGTCTATTTTTGTTTATTTTCTCTCATCCTCGAAACGATTATGGAGGATTTGCAGCAGCCAGCGCTGAAGAATCTCAAATCGCAGGAGGAGGATAAAGTTGATCTGAGTTTCCCAGCGAAATCGAATCCCATCTTGATGGCATCCAAGGTGTCTCGGTCCATGAATTTCATCTCTTCTTTGGAGATACGCCAAATCGCAGTAGTCGGCGCGGGCGGCCAAGAGGAGGCCTGAGAGCACTTATATTTCACTCAAAACAGGCCTGAGAGCACTTGTCTTCCTTTATCTACACTATTTTGTTAGCGGATTGGTTCAGTTTTTATCAGCTTCTCATTTATTCATGATGTTATGCCAGGTTCTGATGTGGTAATGAACCCAATTGTATTTCACAAGTTCTGATCAAACCACATATCATTAATTGAATGATTCATTCTATTACTTTGTTAGGCCTTTGAAGCTGGGATTATCTGGATTAACTGCTCAGAGCCTTGCTTTACGCAAGCTCCATGGGGTGGAATCAAACGCAGTGGATTTGGACGTGAACTAGGAGAATGGTATAGAGACTTTGAGAGAGTCATTGGTGAAGCAGACGTCTAGAGTTGCTATGGTGGAGATCAGGCTCAAGTTCATTGATGTTTCTTCCAAATTTGGACACGATCGTTTCCAGACTGCTCAAGAGAAAGCCAAGTTCTATGGTAGAGTCATCAAAGCTTAGATATTCTTTATTATTCAAATGCCATTAAAACTTTGTTTTGTTCTCTAAGTACTTGTTGTTTTTTCGAATTTTCTCTCTTTGTTGGCCATTTTGTTGTTGGTCAGAGTTCTCAAAGCCCATAATCCCCTAACCCCAAAACCACAAATATTAGTTTCATGTAATATTAGTTTCGTCCCAAGTTTCACTCCATCCTGTGACCTTGCCTAAGGTCCTTTTACCAGTCGAGCTAACGACGCTTGGTAGTTCTCTTGACAATTGAATACATTCTCTCCGGTTTTTTTTTCTTTTTCGCTTAAGAGTATATTGGATTGCATTTGTGAAATTCAGTTTCTGAAGGTTCATTATAATCACCATGTAGTTTCATAGTTTCCAAGTCTATAAAACAGAGAGAAAAGATTCTGTTACAGTAGATAACACTTGAAACTCGAAGATTGGTGGCAATTCGTTGAGCTTGACCCAATTTCAGAGCACTCACATCTTGTTAAAGCTTCAATTCTCTGAATTAACCGATCTTTCTCTTCAAAGGGTGAACCAAAATGGTGTATAGTAAACCGACATAGCTAGTTTTGTTTTTCTGACCTTTAAGCATTGCTACCTTTCGCCATGTCAAAAGAAGAAGCACCAAAACAACAAATGCACACCTACAAGTGTTGTTATGGCTACAGTTAATCGTTTACTCGATCTTTTTGTGACCAAATTTAGCAAGAATCACACATCAATTTACCAAAATTTTTCTGTTACGATCAGTTGAAAAAAAAATGGGTAAGTACCCCTAACGAGGTTCACCAAGAGGAAAAACTATGGAGTTCCAACCTTTTCATTAATTGAAAATTAATTATTAAAAATGGCTAAAAACTCTTTTGTGAGGTTCACTATTGGAGATATTTTTAGAGCTTTGAAATTTTAATCTATATTAACGATATAATATTTTAACATGTTGATAAATTCGTAGAAAAAATTTGTCGTAATATAACGCAAATTTCTTTGCGAAACTTAAAATGAAGAAAAACTTAGGCAGCAAACTAACTATACTTCGTTTCTTCTTATTGCCTAATTGGTCACAACAGCTGCTACGATTCATAATCTTCGTGATTTTATTTCTATTTATAGAACTTAACAAATGTCAATATCCTATTTAGAGGACTAGACCTAAAGTCATGGAGGTTAATATACACACTTGAGTTCAGATAACTCATAAAATATAAACAAAAATATATATTTATAAATTTTACTGGAGTTAATTGACCCACTCACGGAGCTATTTTTTTTAAGTAACTCCCTCACCGCCAGTAGCTACGCGTGGGAATGATAAAATTATGAGTTTTTATGAAATTATGAAATTTAAGTTTAACTGAGAAATTATGAGTTTTTTTATATAAGTCAATAATATTAGAGAAAACAATAATAAGACATTTAAATATTATAATTAACCAACAACATTGATTTTTTTTTTTAAAAAATCAGGATTGAATAACTTAGATGTTATCATTCAATACAAATTTATAACCAATTATCTTCAATATTTGTATTGGAGACTAGATTCTGCAATATTTCTACATGCTTATCAACATAACCACTCCATAGTACAGGAGACATTCTCTTCTTGAATACCCTTATACATTCCCGCCAAAACTAACCGCTAACAGGTAGAAGGAGACAAATAAGAGGAGAGAGAGAGAAAGGGAGTTTCAGAGCCCAAAATTTAAAAGAAAAGATTGGCTAAATTTCAGGAGCTCCAAAAATGGAATTGCGTCGTAGTTCATCGTTTTCTTCTATGACCCTTTTCTCCATTGAGGTGAAACAAAACCCATTTTCTCCCAAAAAACTTAAACATTTTCCGTTTTCGTTACACCTCACGACCTCTTCTTCTTCTTCCTCGGGTTCCCAATTCCCTCAATTTGGGAACCTGAAAATCGCTTCCTCAGCTTCATGATCAAATCTTTAGGTAAAAAAACCCTTAAAATATCATTTTCTTGCAACTAACGGCACCTAACCTAGTTTATACGTTTCGTCCTTCAGAATGGGTCTCAAGCTCTCAAGAGGGCCTGGAAAAGAGAAATCAACTCTGGAAATAATGAGGGGTCACATTCTGATCTAGATTTCAAAGATTAGAAACACGTAAAACTTAAAGAAATAACTCTTCTTTATTGCTTAAGAAAATCACTCAAAACTTAAGCTTCTCACACAAACTCATAAGTGATACCACAGTCTGGTAACTCTTTATATAGTAGATGGAATAGATGACTCCGAATTCCATTAGATCTACTAATTTTCTTTTTCTAGATAACTCCTAAAACACCAACAAGTATTTCCTAATTACTCTAGAAAATATTCTAACTTTATCCTAAGTTAACTTCAAGCTTATCCAACAATCTCTCCTTTAAGCTTGAAGTCATCTTTCTTCAAAACTTGCACACCAATGAGATCTCATCTCTTTAAACTTGATCCTTCCTAAAGTTTTGGTCAAAATGTCATCTCTCTGCTCATTGCTGGGAACATGTTCAACCTCAACTTGTCCATTCTCAACACACTCTCTTATGAAATGAACTCTCCTATGAATGTGTTTTGCTTCTTCCATGAAAGACAGGACTTTTGGTTAGTGCAATTGCTGATTGATTGTCGATTCTTATAGCAACCTTCTCATTCGGTGAACCAGTAACTTCACTAAGTAAATCCTGCAACCATATTGCTTGCTTTGCTGCCTCTGTTTCTGCCATGAACTCAGCCTCACAAGATGATAGAGCCACAATTTCTTGTTTCTGAGAACACCAGCTGATTGGACTCTCTCCAAAATAAAAGATGTGTCCGGCTGTATTCTTCCCATCATCCGGATCAACATTGTGTGAAATGTCGCTATAACCAACTAATTTTGGTTTGGTATCTCTGACCTTGAGCACCTGAACTCTAACCCAGTTCAGTAGTTCCTTGTAGATACCGCAAACACTGTTTTATTGCAGCTCCATAAGACTCTTGGGGGTCCTGCATATAGCGACTAAGAACTCCTACTGCAAAAGATAGATCCGGTCGTGTGTGGATCAAGTAACGAAGACATCCGATTGTCTTCATGTACTTTGTAGCATCGATTTCCTTCTCTTCGATGGATTTCGATAGATGTATTCCGTTCTCCATTGGTGTGTGTGCTAAATTGCAGTTTGCCATTCCAGACTCTTCCAAGATCTTTAAAGCGTATCTTCTTTGGTTCAATGATATTCCTCCCCTGTATTGATGAACCTCAATTCCCAAATAGTACGTTAACTTGCTGAGATCATTCATATCAAATTTTGATGCCATCCTTTCCTTGAATTCGTTAATAACACTTCTTGAGGTTCCGGTTACGAACAAGTCATCCACATAAACTGCCACTAAGAGAAGATGTTATTTTTCTTTCTTTCGATAAACTGACGGTTCCTTTGAGCATCTTTTGAACTGTAGTTGAACAAGTATCTGATTCAATTTATTATTTCATGCCCTCGGAGCTTGTTTTAAGCCATACAAGGCTTTATGCAGCTTGTACACCTTTCCTTCACTTCCGTTTTCTTCGAACCCTTCTGGCTGGGACACAAACACGGTTTCTTTCAACTCTCCATGTAAGAACGCCGTTTTGACGTCAAGGTGGTGTATCTCCCATTCTCTAGAAGCTGTGAGACTAATGAGGAGTCTTACTGTCTCAAGACGAGCCACTGGAGCAAAAACTTCCTCAAAATCAATTCTGTATCATTGCATATAGCCCTTTGCGACCAAACGAGCTTTATGTTTATTAATGCTTCCGTTGGAATTTTGTTTGAGTTTAAAAATCCACTTCAGACCGATCGCTTTTGCTCCAGGTGGTAAGTCTACGAGACTCCAAGTCTGATTCTTCTTAATCGACGCGATCTCGTCTTCACTAGCCATCGTCCATTCCTTTGATTCACTCGCCTCTATGAAGTTCCTTGGTTCATCATTTAGACACAGCAATAACCTCTCTCCTTCTTCTTCTGCAAGACAAACGAAATCTTCGAGGTACTTTGGTTTAGCGGGTTTTCTTTGTGACCTTCTTAGAACTGGTGGAGACTGATGAAGTGTTTCGTTGTCAAAGTCGTTGTTTTCATGAGAAGTTATTGTTTCATCATTATCTGCTTCATCTTCATCTTCATGAGTCTCTGTATCTTTTTCTTGTTCTGCTTCGGACTGCTCTGTTTCGATGCCGTGATTTCCAAAATTTCTGAGTTTTATCTCAAAGCTTCCATCTTGACGCTGATTTGCATTACCAGAGTTCCAGTTCCAGCCATTTGATTCATCGAACACGACATCACGACTGACAATAATATTCCGAGTCTGAGGATCTAGCAACCTATATGCTTTCGATCCAGGTTCTGTTCCAAGATGAACAAGCCTCCTTGATCGATCTTCTAGTTTCTTGAGATGAGGACTCTCCATCTTAGCATAAGCAACACATCCGAATATGCGAAGATGGCTGATGTTTGGCTGATGTTTGGCTTCTTATCTCGGTAAACTTCATAAGGAGTTTTGTCCTTAACTGATCTTGTAGCAACTCGATTTAGGAGATAAGTGGAATGTCTTATCGCCTCTCCCCATAAGTAGTTTGGCACTTGCATATGTTTCATGATGCTTCTTGCCATTCCCATCATCGTTCTGTTACGTCTTTCCACCACACCGTTTTGTTGCGGCATATATGGTGACATTTTACTCCATGTTTATCGCAAAAATCATTAAACTCCTGTGAGACAAATTCTCCTCCTCTATCTGTTCTAAAGGTTTGTAGTCTTGTTCCAGCTTCTTGTTCTGCTAAACTCTTGAATCTTTTGAACTTGTCCAAAGCATCCCTTTTTTCTTTTAGTAAGATGGTCCACATATATATTGAATGATCGTCAATAAGTACAAAGATGTACTTGTTTCCTCCTGCTGTACTTGGTGTTATTGGTCCGCATAAGTCACCATGTACAAAATCGAGTTTCTTGCTGGCTCGATATGTAGCTTGTTGAATACCCTCCTGGTTTGTTTGCCAAGTAAACACGACTTACAGACTCCTTTCTCGATATCGACTTGTGGAATTCCATCTACAAGCTCTCTTTGTATCATACTTTTGATATTAGCCATGTTGACATGCCCTAACCTGGCGTGCCATCTGTTTGATTCATTCATTGTTGTTAGCTGTAGACATGCATCATCTGTAATATGCATTCGAACCTTGTAAAGGCGGTTTCGTGATCTGGTTGCCTTGACAAGCAGTTTCCCTCATTATCGTGCATTGTTAGATAATCTCTTTTCATCCTTATATCACAACCTGATTCCGTAGCTTGTCCAAGACTGGTTATATTGCTTCTTAAGTCTGGAATTTAATAAACACTCTTTATCACTCTTATATCACCGTTTTTGTCGACAAATGATATAGATCCTTTGCCCTTGATGTCAGTTAATGAATCGTCTCCAATCGGACTTTTCCTGTCACAGATTCATCAATCTTTGTGAAGTATCTGCAATCTCCTGTCATGTGGTTACTCGCTCCATTGTCGAGGTACCACAAGTATTCTTCACCGACTTGTGCTTCATACTTGCTTGGAGTACAATTCTTCTTTGTTTAAATATACCACTTCATGCATCAAAGGCTCATCCGCATTTTCTGTATCTTCTTTGCTGTTTTCTTGAGTTTCCTGCAGTTTGAGAAGATGATCAGGGCAGCTCGAAGCGTAATGACCTTGCTTGTAACAACGGTAACAGGTAATTTGCGATAGATCAACGTTTCGTGATTGATCTCTTTCTCCATTGAAACGTCCACGGCCTCTTCCTCTTGAGTAGTACCGTCCTCTGCGTCCTCTACCTCTGTTTTCACCATTAAAATTTCGTTTTTGAGACTCTGTATTTGTCCACATTAGTTTAGTTTGATCTTCTTGAGCTTCTTCTTCTTCTCCTTCATAGATACGTTCTTCATAAGCCTTCAATTTCCCAACAATATCTTTGAAGGTTGTAGCATTAAGATCTAAACTTGCTCTAGAGATGCGACTATGTGAATATACTTCTTCCTTGGGAGGCTTTTAAAAAATTTCTTGACTAGTTTTGATTCCTCACTGTTTACTCCCAACGCAGCAGACTTTGATGAGATCTCAGATAGCTTACCCGATAAATCATCAATATTCTCTGTATCTTTCATCTTGGGGCGGTCGAATTCAGTCATTAGGGTTTGCAATCTTGCTTCTTTAACCCTATCAGCTCCCATATGTCGTGATTTTATTGCTTCCCAAACCTTCTTCGCTGTATCTAGTTCACCGACTTGTAGAAAACAAGGGTTTCTGGTATGGATTGAAACAATAATCCCATCGCCAAGTTGATTTTCTCGTCATCTACTGTCCCGACTTCGATAACTTCCCAGACTTTGTGTACTTTGAGACACACTCTCATCCTCATGGCCCAAACCATATAGTTTGTTGTGCTAAGCATAGGGCATTGGATGGAAGTTGCTCCGCTTCCTTTCTTAGTTTTGTTGTTCGTTGGTATTATATCGCCCATGGTGTTTGAATTCTAGATAATGCTCTGATACCAATTCTATAATTCAAAGATTAGAAACACATAAAACTTAAAGAAATAACTCTTTTTTATTGCTTAAGAAACTCACTCAAAACTTAAGCTTCTCACACAAACTCATAAGTGATACCACAGTCCGGTAACTCCTTATATAGTAGATGGAATAGATGACTCCTAATTCCTTTAGAACTACTAATTTCCTTTTTCTAGATAACTCCTAAAACATCAATAAGTATTTCCTAATTACTCTAGGAAATATTCTAACTTTATCCTAAGTTAACTTCAAGCTTATCCAATGTTGACTTACTTAACCACAAATTCTTACCTAATATAAAAATACTAAAACATCCAATCGTAATATAAAATATCAATTAATGTACTGATATGGTACTGACTCACACTCACTGTTGGGGTGATGAGTCTGATGACAATGAGCTACATAATGAATGACAAAGTCTTTACGAACGGAAAAACGTGGTGGTTCATCTTCATCATGATGTTATGATTTTTTTACTATCCAATCATTAATTAACGAGAATCATGATTTATAACTATAAGGCTATATATGCACTCGGATTCAATTTCAAGGATTAATTCAAGACAAACATGCAGCTAATTTAGGTGAGTTCACGTGTTATTATTCATCACTCCTCACATTTTGAGTTTCCAACACCTAATTCCGACAACAGCCTAAGAGATTCTCTCTCAGACTCACACAATCAGAAACATACAAATGCATGCATGCAATGTTACACGTGATCTCCATGCAAAATTCCTCTCTTGTCAATAAAAACCAACCGACCCTTTACTTCACTCTTCACTCAAACCAAAACATACACAAATATAGCAAATGGCCAACAAGCTCTTCCTCTTCTCCGCAACTCTCGCCTTCTTCTTCCTCCTCACCAACGCTTCCATCTACCGCACCGTTGTTGAGTTCGACAAAGATGACGCCTCCAACAAACTAAACGACTCAAACCAAATTATATCATTTTATGTCTTTTTATTACACAGAATATCACTTTCTGCTACTATAATACTTTTTCAGCTTTTACATTGGCTATATTACAATTTTATTCTTCTTTTATTCTTTGTAATTTTTGGACTAAAGATAAATCAAATTAAAAATAAAAAGTCACATTCTCTCTCTTATCTCCCTTTTTCTGACATTTTTTTTCTTTTTTTCTTTCTCTTTCCTCTCTTTTCTTCACACTTATGTTCTCTATATTTTATTTAGTTTATTTTCTTTTTTTAAAAAAAAAAATAATTTCATAGTTATTTTTACACTATCAATTATATCTCTTTTATATCTATATTTTGAGCACCATTTTCGATAGTTTACTTATATGTAATACGTACAATTAGATAAAACATACATGCAGTTATATAGTTGTGTCCACGTGGATACGTACATGTATCCATATTTAGACGTATCCACGAATATGTGGTCCATGTGGACGAAGTTACATGGATATATAAACATATTCACGCATATATGGTACACGTGGATGCAATTACGTGAACATACATGCTGCTCCATGATAATATGGTACACGTGGATGCAATTACATGAATATACATGCTGCTTCACGATAATATGATATCCATGTACACACTATATGTATATGTGTATTTTTTTATATAATATATATAAATTATATAATATGTAAACTATTATAAAATGGGTATCAAAATATAGACATAAAATAGATATAACTGGTGCAATTATTTTTTTATAAAAAGAAAATAAACAAAATAAAATATGAGAAATA